CTCTCTCTCTCTCTCTCTCTCTCTCTCTCTCTCTCTCTCTCTCTCTCTCTCTCTCTCTCCCTTCCTTCCCTTCCCTTCCCTTCCCTTCTCTCTCTCTCCTCCCCCCACCCTCTTTTGGATAAAACTCAAATCCTTCACACCCAAAGTCTTACCAGGGCAGGACTTGAATTCTTGATCCAATACAGAAGACTCACTTCAAATTTGACCAAATTCCCTCAGTGCTTGGGTGTTTGGATCACAAAGGAGGCAGCTATGGAGAGTAAAGGGACTTTTACAGTTAAAAAGAAAATGAAAAAAGTTAAGATACTTTGATCTAGGCTCTGTTTCGGGCAGTATCATTTCAAAGAAAGCCACGTTTTTATTTTTTTTTCAGTGCTTCAATTTTTACCCTGTTTGATACTCTAAATTACATGTTCTACATAAACAGTTCTGTGCACCACACACACTAGTGTTCAAATAATCAGCCTGCTCTTCCCATTCAAGGGTCTACTGGAAATGACATCCATTGACATTGAGCTGAGTTTTCGATTTATTCCTAATGACATATATCATATCAAGAAGAGTAAATTGTGAATGGATCTCTTGTTCTTCCTCCTTCCCATACGCAGAGTACTCACCACAGTTCAGCTTCTGTGGTCATTCTTTTTCCAGGGTGCAAGAGAAAGGACCACGTTGGGCTGAGTGCATACGTATGTCCCCCTGGGGATTCAAGTCCCAAAAGTCTGGGCTTAATGCTGCACAATCAGTCCTGCAGTTAGATAAAGAAAGAAGTGCCTTGGTGGCATGCAGGAGATGCCCCCGTTCCCAGGAGACTCAGGCTCGACACCAGGACAGAAGGAGCTGGGCAGTCTTGTGGCAGAAAGACATTAAAGGCTACAAACCAGAATCCCTGAGAACTTCGGGCAGCAGCCTGACTGGCCTGGTCCGAAGTGAGGCAGGGACAGCTTTCCTGAGAACAGACATAGAATGGGCGGCTTTGAGAACAACAGATTGGACATGGGACGCACACCTGTAATCCCAGCACTTTGGGAGGCTGAAGCAATAGCACTGAGACCTCAAGCCTGGCTTGGGTAACTCAGTGACTTAGCAAGACTCTGTCCCAGGAACAAAACTTTAAATAGGGCTGGGGATGTAGCTCAGTGCAAAGGCCCTGGATTCAGTTCCCAGTTATCACAAAGCTGAGGGGCAAGGGAGGAGCACTCCTAGCTAGGAGCTTCCTCAGGGTCCTGGGAGACTGAAAGAAGGCTAGTGTGACTGGGCACTGGATAGGGAAGACAGGGGACACAGGCAAGGACTTTCCGGACATAGTCTGGTCCTCTCCTTTCTCTTCTCCAGCACTCACAGATGCCCAGTGTTGACTCAGTCTCCCCAGGAGGCAGCACAGTGAACAAATAAAAACAAACTCAGGAAATCCTGAAGCGCCCCCAGGGTGTCCAGACACAGTGGTTCTGCAGTCCTTCGAGAAGACAGGGTAGAGAGAAGCATTTGCAAAGAAAGCCATTACCACCGTCTACGCAGGGAGAGGGACTCCAGGTGAGGCTGTGGGGAACCTGGCCTGGAACAGTCATTTACATCTCACAGCTCCTGAGGCCTCGGAAATGAGAAGCAGTCATTAGCACAGCTAGCAGCCCTCAACCTTCCTTTTTGATAATAACGGTGTCACCAGAGGATGGAAAATTACCCTGACGTCTCTATATCTCCAAATCGCACTTCAGAGGCAGGCTGTGTAAGGCAAACAGACCTGAGTGAGAAGCTCCCGGCTAGACTTGCAAGTCCAGGACTAATAAATAACCCTAAAATATACAATCTGAAGCAGCTTTGTTCTATGGCACATGGCTTCTGCCCTAGGAAGGGCCATGAATTGCAGGGCCTGACAGGTGGGGTCAAGAGAGCTGGCAGTGGCTGCCGGGAGCTTCGAGGACCTGCACATTAACCCCTGGTGGTGGCTTCGTAACAAGCAAGCCTGCTGAGATGGAGTCTGAGCTCCAGGAAGAGGCAGGGCTGGCCAGTCTTCCAAGCCTGAAAGCCTCAACCCCAGAGACCACGGGGAACCATCCTGGTAGGCGAGGGAATGCTGCAATTCCTAGGATGAAGGAGACAAACAAGATCTTCAGTGGTGATTGAAAATGCTCATTAGGAGACAGAAAGCACAGCATTAAGTGAGCCCAATTGAAAGGTGTGAGATTTTCATATGTTCACATTTTCATGTGTTTTTCTTTCTCAGTCAAAAACACTCTCAGATCTGCCAGAGCACTTTTGCAATCATTTATAAATTGGTCTGCCGGGTATCTATGCTCAAGTTAAATGACTAGAAGCAAAAATCAATAACTCATCGCTGCCGAGGGGGTGGGCATCCAAGCGCAAAACAAGATTCAGATCACCAATAAAAGGACGCAAGGATGTCAAGCTCCTGTGATGGAAAATACTTCATCAAAAGGTGACAGATGGCAGGCTAAAGAGTGAATACAAGTAAACCCACCCAAAGCTGCTGTAGATGTTGGAGTTTCTTTAATATATCACACTTTGTCGGGGACTGCTGATAAGAATGACATCAAGTAAGATGACCAAGGATAAACTGGTCCAGTTTTAGACAATGGCAGCAACAAATTATGATGGAAATAATAAAATACATGCAAAATGAATAATGAAGAAAGCACATGAAACAATTTGGACACAGGAAATGTATAGAGTAAGGTACAAAATAGCCTAGGAAAGGCATTGCATTTGAGAGTTAGGGGTGTGCTGTATGGCAGTCAGTAATTATCAGCATTTATCAGATGTTAATTATGTGCCAGTACTACTGTAGGTGGGCTGTTTGTCAGTTTTACTTCTCTGAGAGAGAGAGAGAGAGAGAGAGAGAGAGAGAGTGTGTGTGTGTGTGTGTGTGTGTGTGTGTGTACAGGTGGTTTCTGTGAATTCTCAAGGAGCTTTAGGAAGTATGAAATTATAATCCTCATTTTATAGATGAGGAAACTGGCATGGAGAGGTTAACTATCTTACCTCAGGTCACACAGCAAATCAGAGCTGGGATCCCAGCCTACGTTTGAGAGCTACTGCTTTTGGTTTTTTGTTGTTGTCGTTGTTGTTGTTGTTGTTGTTGTTGTTGTTTTTTAATCTATCCATGGGGCTAGGAGAAAGGGGGTTTCAGGGGGGAACTGGTTGATGTTCCTGTATAACAAGAAAGAAATAGCAGGATAGCTTTCCTCAAGTTAACTTTTTCTCCCTGGAAAAGCAGAAAACAAAGGCTGTTTTAGGAATGGCACCACCATGGGCCTTTTCTTTCCCTTCAGTGCCGTTTTAGAGATTTCAAGCATTTGGCTGGAACTTCAAAAAGGATCCTGGGTTTTCTCTAAATACAGTTATATTTAGCTAGATAAATAGAAAAACATAAATTGGAGAGCAAGAACAATCAATTTCCCATGTTTTTCTCAATCTCCAGTAGGAAAAAGAAATTCAGCAAAGTAGTCATTTAAAATATTTTAAAATAATTATACAGCAACAAGCCAAAAAGCCCAACATTCTGTACTTTTTCAAGATATTCTGACTTCTTTTGCATTTCTTCCTCCGGAAATAGTAAACCATTCTCTCTTTTAGAAAAACACTCCTCAAGCCCCTGTCGACCCCTCTCAGCAAATTCTCAGGATCCTATGAAACACTTTTCTCAAAATTGTGAAGGCTGATGATCAGGTCCTTAAGAATAAACTACCACTGTGTTTTCTTCTTGGCTCTGTTCTCATGGGCACCGATGTCTTCTTTTTCTTCACAAATGAATACAGGCATCGGATTCTCTTCCCAAATAACAAAAGAATTGTTTCCTTGTTTTATTTTACAAGAAATCACTGGAGTGATTGTCCATACAACTCAGGACCGCAGATCCCCCCATGGACGCCAGTGGCCTTATTTCCGATGTGCTTAATGGCCTCACTGGCTTTTCACGGCCCTTTTGCTACCCAGATCTGTTTGGCAGTGGACGAGGGAATTAAGGCAATTAATTGGGTTTGGATGCTACAGACCTCGTGTTCTGGGAGCCAGCAGAGGGTGGTGAGCTTGGCAGGGAGGAAGGGGGGTCTCCGGGAGGGGGAAAGATGATTAGGCGGCTTTAGAAGAAGACGCTGACAGAGAGCCTGCTGCTCAGGGGGCCAGGTGTGAATTGGATGGCGGCACGGAGAAGCCAGGCCTGCCAACCAGGCCCGCCTTGCTCAGTGCCCCCCAGATACAGCTTGTGCCTCCCTCCTGAGATCAAAGCACATTCCTTCCTCCTCCAAGTCTTTCTTTCCCCTCTTTCTTTAGTCAGCCAGAAAACCTTTGCTTCCACTCCACACCCGCCCATCTTCTCTTACCTCCTAGCTCCTCCATCTCTGTCTCTTTCTCTCCCATCTTCCTTTTGTTGCTAATGTTTTATAGGATGCACTCCATTTGGCCGCATCCTCGCTCCGGGGAATTAATGTGCAGTCCTTTGTTCTCTGAAGCTGTTTCTGTTTCCAAAAGACAAAAAACCTACTTTGTGCTATGTTTTCACGTGTGACTAATGATAACAGAACAGTTATAGGTTGGGCATTTGTATTCTTAGAAAGCTAAAATTAGTGCCATTTTTAACATAACAATTGCATTAGCATAAATTGTTTGCTTCTAAAACATAACATGTGAAAGCAAATTAGATGGCTTAAATTATAGATGTCCACTGACTACTAAACCTTTAGGTAGTAGAGACTAGTCATTCTCTCTCCAAAATATGGCACTATTTCTGTTGCCTGAATGTTTTTAAGGTGACTTCCTCTGCCTTCCAGGAATGAGAGATAGCCAAGTGGAAAGAAACAGCAGATTATTCCAGCTCATTCTTGTCCCCTAATCCCATTTCTGATCCTTTCTTTTCGTGTTGATGTTCTCTTGACATTTTTGACATAACAATTAATATTAATGTTTTAGTTTTCTCTTACTGTGACAAAGTGCCTGAGATATTTAAAAAGAGGAAGGTTTTGGCTGAGTTTCAGAGAACTCAGCCCATGGTTGCTTGGCCCTATGGCTTTGGGGTCTGCGGCAAGGCAGTGAATCACGGCAGTAGTACTCGGCCGAAGTGGGTGTTAGAGCTCACAGCAGCTGGGAGGCAGAGAGAGGAGGAGGCTGGTCCTCATACCTCTTCAAGAGACCTCACTTCCTCACTTCAATATAGTTGAGCCATCAGAAAATTGTTTCAATGTCCAGTTTCTGCTATTGTGCTGCCATTAACATGATGCTAATGAAATGTAATAAAATGTGGCTCAGAAAGGAAAGCCAACTGCTCTGAAACTTCAATTAATATGATTAAGACAGAGCTTTATACAATAAACTTGCATCTGATGCACACTCCACACTTTATGGATTATTACAGCAGCCCCACCTCCCAGTAGCGCCTACCTAGGGGACGACGCCTTTAACTCACGGGCCTTCGGGGTGATTAGTCATATTTTGAGGACTGTGGGTTTCTCTAGGTGCAGTGGCTTTGGGTGACAGTTTTGCCCACCTGGGAGGCTAAGGTCTGGTGACCTAGAAGCCACAGAAGAAAAGAAAGAATTAGGAAGGAAGGAAGGAAAGGGGGGAGGAGCGAAGGAAGGAGAGAAAGTAAGAAAGAGGGAGAGACGAGGGGGCAGAGGGAGAGGAAAGGAGAAAGAGAAAGAAGGAAGAAGCAAAAAAAAAAGATTTCTAAAAGAAGGAAGGTAAAAGAGGGAGGGGAGAACACAGAATGGGTGGGTGGTAGACACATAGGAGAGAGTGTGGTAACTAGATGGGGTATCAGGATGGAGTGCAGCAAATAAATCACCAGCGTGGATGGCAGACAGGTGGATAGGTGGATAGCTGGGTGGTGGAGGTGAACAAACTCTGGCAGTCAAATCAGGTCGTGTGAGAAGCACTGTCAGAAGCTTAGCTAATTTCCAAATAAACGAGTGCCTGTTCCGGGCAAGACAAAAAGCGGTTGATATTTTTGTGACAGAAGGTAGGAGATGTGGCCTGTGTCTTCTGAGAGCTAATTTGGAAATAAGACAACATGTAAGTAGCAATGCACATTCAATAAAACATGAAATTGTATGGCGTGGTTGCTCAGAGATAACTTGGGAATTCTGAAGTGGGAATGGGCCCGTGGAGGGGGAGGATGGAGGAAGCTGGACCTGGGCAGGAGCTCCAGGGACAAGTCAGGATCCACAAGCGGGGAGCAAGGGGCAGTTCTAGGGAATGCGTGAACAGTGGTGCAGAGTCCTCTCTTTTCCTGATGGCCTCTGATCCCTCAGCAGCTCTCGGGGAGAGGCAGCGCAGCTTCGTTTCTTCTCCAGTTGCACACTCAGCACCCCCAGGGCAGTAACTTGCACAAACGATGAGTTCGATTTAAAAAAGTGAAGCAATTCATGAGTTGAGTGAGTAAAGTGAAGAGTTATTCCCAAAGTCCCACATGCCCCCACTTGGGATTTCTGATGTGAAATGACATCCGACTCCATCCTCACATAGATTATATTATATTAGATTCCTCCTGCGTAAAAGAGCCCTGGCAGCAAGTTCATGGTAGGCATTGGTAGTGGGATGATGAAAGAAAATTTCTCCTTTAGCAATAATGAAGACAAATCAGCTTCTTTACATTTTCCCACCAGGAGCCCTTTCATATTTGAAATGAAAAGAAAAGGGCCAAAGGGGGAAACGGAGCCATGCTTTGACACAATCTTGATTAAATAGCTTCCCTCCCTGCTTTTTAGAAAAATCAAATCTGGTAATATTTTGCCCAGGGATGGTTCTTCAGGAGGATAATAACAAATCACTCCACTGGCTTTAGCCTGGTGACTAGCATCCTGCAAGAATTTAATGAGCAGATGAGCCATATCAGCACTTTAGAGACTCCAGCTGGTGTTCTTTGAACGAAGAGGAAGCTGGGCTGCTCGTGCCTTGTCTCCGGAGGTGAGCCGTCCTGGGCAATGGGTGGCTTGAGGTGTTTGCTAATGACTTCATGCTTTCTTGACTAGTCGAACCCTGCATTCCCCCAAAGCCCATCTGTTCTCTAATGTGCTTCTGAGAACGTCTATTCCAAGGCTGGAGAGATAACTGAGAAGATAATGGACAAAACAGAAGAAATGACAGTGTCCCCATGAGATGGTGCCCGCCCCAGGACCCTAGCATGTACTATTCCCTTTGATGAGAAGGCTCTGCCCAGTTCTGCTCCTCCCTCAGGTATCTACTTAGTGTCACCCCAAGAGAGGCTTTCCCAGGCCACTCTAGTCACGCTAACTCCCTGTTTTATTTTTGCAGCAGCACTTGTTACCACGTGACACAGATAGGTGTCTGTTGTCAGTCACCTCCCTGAGAACAGAACCATGTCACGTGTCAGTCCTGTTCACTATCACTCAAGGCTAGAGCCGTGAGTGTATGGCCCATCAAATGCACTGAGTACTTCCTTAAGGAAGGAGGAGGCACCTTTACTGGGGGTTTGCTTTGAATATTTAAAACTCCTTAGAGAGCTCAATTGAAAGCAAGAGTCTGACACTAGAGTTGGCAATTGGTGAAAGCCTGCTGTGTGCGGCATTTTATTTGCCACCTTACATGCATCAGCTCATGACACAATGATTGTCGATGTCATCTTTTTTTGGTGAGCAAACTAATGATGTCAGTTGCTGTGCTTTGCCTTGTAGGAAAACCACATCACACCAGGGAGTTATGTTAATGCCATTCCCTCGGCAGCCTTGATCACACCGAGCAAAACACATGAGTTGCACAATGATTACAGCAATGATGATGATAAGCTAGGGTCTCTCCCAAGTACCTAACCTGTGTTAATTCATCCAATTTTTACCAGTGTAAAAATACTGCTGTTATCTTCATTTTATAGATAAGGGAAATGAGCCAGAGAGAAAGTCAAGTAACTTAGTCAAGGTCATACAGACACTAAGTGTCATGGTCTAACTCCAGGGAGGAATAGAAGTTCCCATTAAAGCAAAATTAATTAGTTAGTTCACTAATTAATTTAAGATTGCAACCCCAAACAAGAGAGGTGTTCAGAATTGAAACCATGTCGGCTTTGTAAGTCCACAAGTTGGAACTCAGCAGGTGCTGTTATTAAGGTGGATGATGAAGGATCCAGAGAAAGGAGCATTACTTTTCTCTGAATAAACTTATTCAATATTTACAGAAATGCTCATTGGAGAGACCATTAAAGGCTCAACCTCTTATGAAAGGGGATTTTTATATCTAATAATCAGTAGATAAGTGAAAAAATTCATGCTCCACAGAGTTAAAAACACTCTCCCGAGGGGCATGGAAGAAACAGTCTTTAAAATAAAAAAGGGACATGCTGTATAATCACTATGCTAAATAATATACATAAAAAAATAAAAAAATTGCCTCATCCCTTGCATTCAGCTGAAGAATTTCTTTTGGTTGGATGAGGTTCTTTTACTTGCATCTAAGCTATTTCTTTTTCCACTTGAGCTGACTCAAAAAGAGTGAGTCAAAAAGAAAAGCTGCTGGGAATGAAATTCAATAATATTTAGGGAGAAGTGAAATTAAATATTATTGGATGCCTCAATCTTGGTGACCTCACACATGCTCCCATCAGGGAACTCAGCTACGTGTCAGAAGGCCTGTCCAGGGGCTGTGCATTCTGTACACACTAGCGTCAATGCAGTATGAGCAGGAGCTGAGATGCAGGATCCCCCCACCCCCCTAAATTTTTTTTGGTGTTCTATGTCTTATTGATTGTTTTTGCAGCAGAAATGATCAACATAAAACATCAATGCCAAGGGCCAGGGATTTAGCTCAGCGGTTCAGTGGCCTGCCTCGCAAGTGCAAGGATCCAAGTACGATCCTCGGTACCACAAAACAAAACAAAACAAAAAAACCCACCAATGCCAAAATTTGCCTGTGCAGAGGAAAAGCCAGTGCTTAAGTACAAACAGGACATGGGATTTGCTGTTTTAAATAACTGCTGAAACAAAACTTGGATCCTGGAAACATCCGGACTCTTGGTCTGCATAGTGGAGCTGCCTGGTCTGTGGGTGTCCTGATCCCCCACCCTCCCAGTGATTAACACATAGAATTGGGTGTCACCAGTCAAATATGGTTACAGTGAGTCTCCTTTGGCCCTCTAAAGACATGCTCTGGCCAGGACAAAAACAAATGACCCTTAGCAGTTAAGTATTTCACATGATTCTCTTGGTTCCCACTTCCATGAATCTGTTCAGTTTGGTGGGCAGGACCAACACAAAGGTCCCTTTCAAGCCTCTGAGCACCCTCTCATCACTGAAGATCTTCGTGGATTCCTTTGGGCCAGGACTTCATCATCATGGGTCACACAGTGTGGAGGGTAGAAGATATTGTGATTATCTTGCTCAGCACCATGTGGCTGTTCCGGATACAGATCATGCTTTTGGAAGTCTGCACTGCTTGGTGATTCCCAGAGCCACTTCTGCACTGAGAAAACTGGTTTTTCTCCTGCCTTTCTTGAGAATTCCCAAAAA